ATTGATTACTGAGGCAAGGAAGAAAACACAGCATCATAGAAAAAAAATTGTAATTCGCACTCCCCCATACACCACCACCCCCCCAAAAAAAAAAATCCACAGTACTTGTGAAACAATTTAGATTATCATTTTAGTAGCTGGTAGCATTCTTTAAAGCTATGCAGTACAACAATTCAAGGGTGTAAAACTATGTTACAAAAAAACACTGAAATAATTTTATCGTACATTACTTGGTATTATATAGTGAGATCTTTGCAAAAATAACACAAGAATTTCAAAGATGTCAATTTTAAAAATTATTATTAAAACAATAATTAGCATTCTATTACAAATTATTTCTACTCAGTGAGTAGCACTATTTCACTACAGTGAGTAGAAATTTAAAAATTAAAATTCAGGTGGAAGATTGATTCCCCCCCCAGTATTTTGAGTATCATTGTCTCAGTGTTACCATATAAGAGCAAAAAGAGCACTGATTACTGTACAGAGAATCTGTTTGAAGAAGCTATCTTAACATTTCCACATTAAAATGCATTATTCTGAAGCAACTGCTCAATTATTTCTGGATTTAGACATGATATAAAGTATTTCTGTATCTAACAAGTGCATTATATTCCTCAATATGAAAATGTAAGCAGTCTTTAGAGGGAAGATTTTACAGGATGACAAGTTTTTATTCCTAAGCCACAACTTGTGCTAAAAAGTGACCTATAGTGGTTGTCATACTACCAAAAGGTGGACCCACTGAGCCTGACTGACAGTTAGGAACAGTATTTATCTTTAGTGTTCTCAAATCTGACTGTTCTTGGAAAGGCTTTTTCTCAAGCATGGAAATGGTGGGGGGAGGAGGGGGATATTCTAAATTCAGTTCTTCTGTGAAGTCAGAACGCAGTACTTTTATCTCTAAGCTTAGCTGCAAGCAACCCTCACCTTGTAATTCTAGTAACTTAAAAATTTAAAGCATGTCAATAAGTTATGTATTGGATAAAACAGAACCTTCTGAAGACAGAAAGATAAAATTATCACAACACCTCCCCCAGAAAACAGACAAAAAACCCACTAGAGCCATTTTTAGTCAAGTAATCAGGAAAACATCCCATTCTATATAATTATAGATAATTATGTTGTAAAACTTGAATACTTTGGTTGGAATTTTGGGAGAGGCAGGCACTGTATTGTGAAACAAACCTTAAGAGATAATGCCAAATGTTAACAAGCCTCTAATATCGCTAGCTATGCCGTCATGGCACTGTTTAAGTTTACCTACAACTTGTAACAGAGAAAATTCCTGTACACCTCGCTGTTGGAGAACTGCTTTGGAATTTGTTTGGAGAGGGTTATTATAGATGTTAAGGGCAACGAGCTCCTAATCACAGTGCATCCAAATCAGCTGTTGGAGAGGCACGCTTAATGTGAGATTCCAGTTCTGAGGAAATGCTTCACAAATCCAGCTCTACCGATCAAAACTGACAGGATTTAAGACTAGAATGAAAGACAAATGAAGATGAGGCCTATGTAACTTCGGCTTTTCATAACCGAGCAGATGATCGGAGCGAGATGGGGCTATAATGCCCTAGCAGGTAATATTAACGTGGATCTGCTTTTCTCTGATTTCTGACAGCGAATATTTTGTTCCAGGAAGAAAGGTAAACTTCCATTTTAACATGGGATCGTTATGCCGCTTGATTAAAACCGGCAGCAGAACTACGGTAACCCGAAACACAGCGCTGCCTTTGGACACAATTTCAAGTCATTTCGGGCAAAACCCCTGAAAAGGCGACAACGCTGACAGCGTTCCCACCCGCATCTACTGCCGGTGCCCGGCGCCCCGCCAGCCGAGGGCGGGTTTGCGGCGGGGAAGGGGCTCCCCGGGGAGGCGGCCCCGGCGGCGCCGGCCGGAGCTGTCAGGCTCATTGTTCCGGGGACACCGCGGTCGCGACGGGCGGCTGCGGGGGGCAAGGGGGATGTTTTCACGGTGCAACTCCCTCTGGACACGACAAGGAGCGTCTGCCCTCTGTTATTAATGAGGAAACCCCCTCCTCTCATCCGGAAAAGAAACGGCGTCCCTGGGTAGCCGACGGCGCACCGAGACGGGCCGGGCGCTGCCCCG